ACAGCCCACCATGCTTGACCTTTTACCAGCAAGCAATTCAGCAAATGCCACGCTACATGACAGTGCCTGAACTTTTCAGATTAATGCCGTTGTGACTGCAAATCAGTGAGGCACCCACCACCGAGGCAACAACAAGGACTATCTCAGTTTATTATGTCACTGTATGCTTTGAAAATTATTTGCGTGCTACGGGCTTACAAATAATAATATATTTTTTAATCCGAGCTTAGAAATAACAATGCTAAAAGCGCAATATAAATCTGCGCGTGAGAATCATTACTGAGTAGTCAAAGTTACCGCATTATTGATTCTCAAAATGTCTATTAAAAACAAGGGAAAAAATATAATTATCAGTATCTATAATTTTATTAAAATTTGCTTTTAGTTATTGTATTTTTTTTAATATTTTCAGTGCCTAATAATATTGAGTGACATTTGTTCTTCAAGTTTTTAAAATATTAAAGTATAAAAACAAAGAATATTGAAAACAAGGTGCAAGAGAGTAAAATCAAAATTTGATAAAATTATAAAAATAAATAATTATATATTTTTTTTCAAAAAAGTATAAGATTTAGATTCTGAACAAGTGAATGTCACATCTAAGATGTTTTTTCTATTCAGGTCACTCACATATATTTTATTTATTTAAAGTTTTGAAAATGTCATTTTAAACTTTTTTTAATTTATGCTACTATCCAAATATATACAAATTTCTAAATTTTGTTTTTGCTCAGCTGTAATTAATGAGGCTTCGTGCAATGCATGCGAATCAATGTTTGAGAGATTAGAGTTAGTTATTTAATTCAAACATAGCGAGATATTTTTACGCGCAACGCATTAAAATTAAAATATAATAAGTTACACAATTTTTTTTCCAAAATGGACTGCTCTTTTTAATTCCTAAATGATGTTAGATGTGTAAAAGGTATTAGAGAAATTAAATTAAGCTGCAAAAAATATTATTAAATTAGAAAGTGAAGGAATTAAACAAAAGACAATTTATAAATAAAATAACTACACAATTAGATCTTGTAGAGGTGGTTTTTTTTCCAATTGAAATTTGAAAAGGCAATAAATCTGCTATTAAAATTTTCATCATTACAAATAGCATGCAGGACCTAAATGATAATGCTATAATAGATGAATCCTAAAAAAGTAGGTCAAGTCTAATAATGGCTGCAACGAATGTCCAGCGTCACCTACGATTCCATATAACTGTAACCCTTAACCCCTAATCTTAGCACTCTACTTACTGCTAGTAATTTGATAAACTAATGATAAGGATCTCTTTTAAACTCATGATCAATCGACAGACGCCATGATTATGATGGGTAAAATAAAGAGATGCGGATAAGGAAAAGAAAGGAATAACGTGCGAGAGGGGGTGCATCCCCTCTTTATATATATAACGTTGTTATCATCACTTGATTGCTTTTGTTTTGTTGGTGGAGCGTTTTTGTCTTTTCGTTTTTTGATCACCCAATTATATTTTTTATTGAATGCAATTTATTTGAGTTACTGTAGCACTTATATTTCCCAACAATTTAATGTGGGCATACCTCTAAATGAAAATTAAAACTTTAATCTATTATATTATGAGGAGTTAATTTTTTTTACTAACCCAATTTTTTAATTGATTTTGTTTTTTCAAAAATCAAAACGAAGCTAAGGCCTATTTGTTGGTGATAAATCGGAAAGTGGGGTGTGTGTGGGTCACCACTCGCCAAAGGCATCTGCTATCCCTTTCAAGTTTCAATCGCAGCGTCGCTTTCGTTCGCTTGCGTTATGGCTCTCGTCACTTTGGCTGCTTCTTCTGGGTCTCACTTTCCTTCCTTCTTCCAGCCCCAGTCACGTTAAAGTCTCTTTATATATATATATATATATATATATATATATGTACACATATTTCCTTCTTATAATAAGGTAGAATTGAAATTGATAGATTTGATCAATTTAAATTTTGAATTTTAAATATTATATTTAAAATTTTTTATTTAGACAGTGTAATGAATTTTAAAAATAAAAAAATGAGTTAAGAATCGAAGCAAAAAAAAAATTTAGAAGGAATAAGACTATTTTTATTTTTTAATTGGTGAAATATGAGAAATAGTGAAAATGTAGGGAATAAAGTATGTGAACTTTCAAATAATCAGAGTATAAAATACATTTAAAATTATGAATAAGTTATAACAAAACACATTTGATTTGGATCAAATCCAGGAAACAAATTTATGTATTCAAAGAAGTATTTACTTATTTAGTTGAAATCCAAGATCAAAATCCTCACACATCGAAGTGCACCCGAAACGTTTTTTTTTTTTTTCCATTCATAATCCTGCATCATCATTTAAAATTAATATGACACAAACGAATCAGTTCAACTTTAATAACCTGAACAACGCGGATATGAATATTTCGTTATGAGATTTTTTAGATCAGCATGGAATCCAGATTTTACGGGATGCTTCAGCTTGCTGATATTTACTCCTTAACTACAGGCCCTAGAATATTTGAAACTTTCAATTTATTTTTTGGCCAACATTCTTTTTTAACTTTTTAAAATGGTGCATCTTAATTCCTGTAATTAATAAGAATTGGCTGTAACCATTAGTTAGTCAAAAAATGACAGAAATTAACATAAAAAATTACACGAAAGGATTAATAAATTTTTTTCAATCCTTGTATACTATCTTTTGGGTTATTTAGTGTGACTTTTTGGTTATTTTCGAATTCGAAGTCCTTTTATGTTTTTTTTTTGTCATCTAGCAATTAGTCCCTTCGTTAAAAAATATAAAGTATTTTTAATCAAATCTCATCCGCTAATAAAATAGGTGGCTATATACAAACTAACCCTATCTTTTCATATTTATCCCTATTAAATATCATATAATAAATATAAAGTCATTCATTAATAAGAGTATTTTTAAAAAAGATAATAATTACATTTTAAAAAATTAAAAATATTTTATATTTTTTAATAAAAGAAGTAGTTTTTATTAGAAAATAGCGCTTAAATATACTATTTTAGAAAATTGAGAAAAAATATTGTATAAAATAAATTTAAGATCATGTGTAATACTACATATCACAATGGCGTAAGCCGTTGAGCTCATCAAATAAATCTTCTTTTATAATTTTATTGAGATGATCGGAAGTTGGAACTGCCCAAGCAAATCTATTTCAATCAATGGGTTTAGCGAACTCACGAGGACCTTCCCGTATTAAACTGTCCTTGTCCACGTGGATTCATGCCCTATTTTGCGCCAAAGAGTAGAATTTAAAACCATGAACAATGTTTTGTAGATTGAGGAGAAAAAAATTCTCTTGAATAACACTGGGCTTTACAATATAATGTTAGACTTCATCATCTGATCTTTTAAATTATTAAATCAAGTTCCTTCCCTCAATCAAGGAAATACCAAAAAGAAAAATAAATAAATAAACACGCGCTAGGGTCAAGAACCGAAGATGTTATTTTAAGAGAAAAGAGACAGGACAACATCAGCATCTTGCTGGAGGATGAAGACTCTAGCCAGCTTGCTTATATCACACGAGCACGATGTTTATCTAAAATAAAACTTACTATTGCCTTTCCAATTTAAAGTAAACACTCTTTCTGTCATGATTATATGATAGTTTTAAAATCTTACTTGTTCTTAAACATGAGATATAAATGTGGTGGTTAATTTTTCCTAACCTTGCTCTCCTTAATTGCAACGGCTTGTTGGCATACTTCAGTATTTTATTGCTATAATTGATTTTAATAAATGAAAAATCACAAAATTATACATTTCTTTACAAATTTAAGATAGCAACTATAAAACCAGCTCTTAACTTTTTTTTTTACCCCGTATTATTAAGACAGGAGAGTTAAATATACCGGTAGTTCCAATTCCAAGTTAGACAAAAATGGCAATTTTATATTCCCGACGAACAATCGTATATAACTTAACTTTAGAGACGTCTCAACTCTCAAGACCAGAATGGCACTAGTGTTTCGGTATTTCGATCCCTAGCTACCTAATCCCATTGCGTTGTTTATTGCCCCATTAATCCGTTGACTTGAGTAAACCCTTGTTGTCGTTTAGTCGAAATATCAAGGCGTTGATCAGAAATTATTCCTTGTATATTTATATGTGTGTGTGGGCAGCTTTAAACTTGTTATTCAACCATTGAAATATGGGTAAAATACTAAAATTGTCCACGAACAATATATCATTAAAAAATATCACAAAACCAAACATTAATTCAGAGCAAAAGTGCTCGTCAACGTGGTGATTCCATGTAATATTGCTTTCCGAAGCATCAATATACGGCTAGTAACTTCACAGATCTGGCTTCCTGTTCCCAGTCTTCTTCCCTTCTTTCAATAGCATGGCATTAAAATTTTACCAATACTCTTCTCTACAAATTCGAACCATTGCCTGAAATAACGTTGATAGCTGGCCATGAAATGGAAATATTTGAGGCGGACACAGACATGGTTTGTCAAAGATGTAAAGTTAAAAGGAAGTGATAAAAAGCAAATCTAACCCCCATGTTAGCTGTGTGCATTATTCATTGAAAGTGAAACATCAAGTGTCCTCTAAATTTGAACCCCAAAAAGCGCCTCACCGCTTTAATTTCTATCATTTTTCTCTCTTTCTTTTTGAATGCAGGCCCCCCCTTCCCCACATCCGATTCCTTCATTTGGCGTGAAAGTAGGAAACTTTTAACACATAAAATCAAATCCCAAGTCACATATACAGACACCTCCTCCTTTCAAATTGTCTGTTCTAAACCCGCATACACACAACAAAAGGAAGCGAAGCTTAATTTTAATTTGTTTACAAAACAAGTCCCCTGAGACCAGACTTGCCGATCGATCACTCTGGTCCTTTCCCTTTTGGTGTTTAATTATTTTTCAATCCAGATTAAACCAGAAATAACACGTGGGATGTAATGGGATAATTGGGAACTTAATTATCTTGCTGTGCGAGGGCAAGATCAGAGAGAGAATGTGCCAAAGATACCAACACCACATTGTTGACGGTACTGCTACATAAACATGGAATGGCATTGATACATAGGTAATGATATCTAAATTATCCAATACACCCCCAGATAGACTATGTAACAAGAAAAATCTAAAAGGAAAAAAGGGTTAAAGAAGCACTAGAGTCACTTCCTTGCCAAATTTACAGACCGACTCTAACCCATCTTCCACTCCAGACGACTGGGACCCCAATTAAGCCTATGAAAAGGCAAAAAAATTGGGACATAACGTAACGCAGAATCTCACATAACTTCCAAGAAGACTCCAGAGTGGGAAAGCTCGCCAAAGTTTCAAAATCTAAACCTGCGGAACCGATACTAGCACCATCCACTACCCCGACGGAGGGTGCGAAAGGAAGTGGGGCCGACCCTGAGAACCCAGCCCCGGCAGCCGCAGACGCGGGTCCCACCATCTGCTGCTGGTGATGATCCAGCAAGAATGCGGAGGTGTCCAGCGTCGGCAAGCCCCCTGCTCCGCCGCTCACTGGCACGCGGTTGCCCAGTCGCTGTGGCTCCGGCTTCAGGATCGGTGCCATTGGCATCTGCGAGTTCCCCAGCCTGACGCCGGTCACCTGCTGCACCATCTGCCGGAAGTTCGCCGGGTCCGCTGTTATGAAAGTCGTCTGCGATCTCTTCGACGCGCGTGACTTGCGCTTCGACACCTTCCCTCCAGCAACCGGCGGAATCGAGCTCCGCTGGCGTTTCGGTACCGCGTCCTGGTCCGAACCTGAAAGACCCGAAACCGTTGGGGTCGGAGACGTATCGGGTTTGACGAGGTCCATGAACGGAGAAATCGTGTCGGATGTCAGCATCTCCGGATTGGTGCCGGAGAGCGATTTCTGCAGCGCTTTCGTGAGCGTTTCGGTCTCGCGAGAGAACGCGTCAGTAAACCAGGATTCAGCGAAGGGGGGTCGGAAGGTCCAAGGGTCGATACTGGCCAAATTCTCCGAAGACGCCATGGGATATAGCTGGTTCAAGCAGCAGAGTGCCGAGAGTCGCAGGAAAGTCGAACAGTGAAGGGAATCAAACAGAAACGATGCTCAGAGCATTTTGCGATTGGAATAGGTGATTCTATTACAAAGGGGAGGAAGAAGGCAGCAAGAAACTGTGGAAGTGAAGGAATGTGTACGGCTGAGGAGAACAAAGATACAACGAAGGAAAAGCAAAATGGGAGGAGAAGAGAGCGAGAAAGGGGCGTGATAAATAGGGCGGTGAAAGGAGAGGGGGAGGGCATTATGGGGAATGAAGAGAAGGTTGGAAAGAAACCGCGTTGTTCGGGGGACGAGCAGACACGCGTCAGCTTGTCCGTGCGACTTTTGGCTGAGCTGGTTGGAGTTGGGAGCGATCAATAATTTAACCCAACCGTGATTCACTAGCACCTGCTTTACCTCTAACATTATAACTCCACGATCTTAAATTATAAAATATTTTTGTATAAAATTATATATTAATAAATTTTATTAAACACATTTTATAATTTTATTTTTTAAAACCTCTAATATTATTACTCCTCCATCTTGAATTATAAAATATTTTTACATAAAATTATATGTATTAATAATTTTTATTAAATACATTTTATAATTCTTATTTTTTAAAATAAAAATATTAATTTTAAAAAAATATATCTATTTAATACTTTATTTATAAAAAAATATTACAGAGAGAATATAAGAAGAGGATTATATTAAAAAAATATTATTAGTAAAATATTTTTTATATTTTAAGATGTTAAATTTATTTTAAAAAAATATCTTCTAATTAGGGACCAAGGCAGTGTTATCTTAATCAACAAGAAATATTTATGTCCAAGTCTTTGGTGGTGGATAGGTACCGCAGATGCAAGGACGAGGGTCCATCAGCTTTTGTTTTTTTAGTATATATTTATTTGGTTTATGAGTATGACTAAATGCTTTTTGGTAAATATATATATATATATATATATATATAGTATATGGGTTCTTTTTTATTGCCATAATTTTGTTTGAAATGGTGTTGAGCGCTAGGTATAAACATATTTCTAATGGTATTCAAGCAGCTAACTTAGATATATGTTTTGGTCGGGCAGAAGTTCTCTTCTGTTGCTTCCCTCAAGTCCCCTCCTGATAAAGCCGATAAAATAATCTATTTAATCCGTTAAATCTAATAAGTTGGAGTGGAAAAATTGATTCATTTTTAAAAACGGGCTGAGAATTCATAGTTTTTCCTTCTATATGAGTGAGAAATTTTTAAAGTAAAAAATATAAAAAAATTCAAATTAACTCGTAGTGATAGAATTTATATTATATTTCTATTCTGTTTATTTTTTAAAAAAATAGAGATTCAAAATATTCTTATTCTTAAACTTAAAAAAAATTGAAAAAAATAGAACTCAAATTTAAGATCTTAATAAAAGTATTGTTTTATTATCAAATTCAATCAATTTAATTTAAAAATTTAAAACTATATAAATGTCAATTCAAAATTCAATATTGCGGGGCTAGCCTACCTGCAAAATTAAAAGATAAAATGGGTTAGTATATTTTTTAAAAAAATATTTTTATTTTTTAATCACAATATATCTTTTTATAAGTCTGCAATAATAACAATAGTTCTTAAATTTATAATTTATAACTCCTAAATATGTTCTTCACATTTGAAAGATAACATAAATTTTTCTTACATATTACAAATGAAATTTTTATTATAGTTTGTATTGATGGTTATTAGTTTTTATAAAAATATTTTAAATATATATTATTTGTTAATCTCATAAGATTTATTGATTGAAAAATTAAAATCACAAATATAAATTTACTCAAAAAAATAATATGAGTTTATATTCAAATTTAATTTCATAGTGAGAGATATATGAATTTATATTATTTATTAATCTCATGAGATTTATATTTATTTACATATTTTTTTAATTGTTAATTTTTTGTAAAATGTAAACTAAATGTATATATTTATTTATATAAATTTTAAATTGTTCAAAAAAAATCTAGTGCATTTTACAGGCCAACCAACGAGCTAATTAGCCTGCCAGAAAATGAGTTGATGTGGTTGAATTTTTTAACTCATTTTATTTGACAATCTAGTCTAAATTAATTTATAAAAATGTCAATCCATATAAATTAGCCTATAAGATGATTTGTAACCTATTTGTCCAATGTTACTTCCTGTATGTTAAAAACATCAATAATAACTTTTTTTCGTTGGGCTTCATTTTGCAAATATTTACCACTTTGGCATCCTTTTACACGCACCAGGATAGACCAGGACACAGCTCAACAGGAGAGAATCTTTTTCCGTCCTCGTCACGTCCAATATAGAGCAAGTTTTCCAATAGCATCTTTTTTATATAGATATTGGCCCCATTTTTGGCGAGAAGATGGAATATCACTAAAATAAAATAAAATCAATGAAAAATATTTAGTTATGAATCTCCAATTTGTTACTAATTTTAAGAATTAGTGATGAATGTAAATCCATCACTAATTATATAAATTAGTGACGAATCTAAGATGTTGTCATATTTTACTTAAATTTTATAAATTTAGTAAAATATTTAAATCCGTCACTAAATCTTTATATTAGTGATAAATATTTTTTATTCAAACAAAGTAGTAAAACAAGCTTGAATATTTTAAAAAAATTATAATACACATAGAGAGATTCATATAAAAAAATCTTTGAAATTATCGAATAAAACAATTACATGAATATTTTGTTCTCTTGTTATAAGTAAAATAAATAATATAATTTTTTTCCTCTTATTATGTAAATTTAAATATAAAATAAATTTTTTATCATGTGAAAAATATTTTAATTATAACCCGGGTGATATAAAACGATACACACAAATATTAAGTTTCGTAATATATATTAATTGAGCACAAAACATCATTGCCTCATTGACCCGTCTTCGACTGTCATGGTCATAGTGCTTCAAGAATTCCTCTAATGTCTTCTTAATTTGCTTGGATTACCACTCAACTATTCTACAATTTATTCAGGCTTCAATCATGAGTTTTCCTTGTGTTGAGTCATTCAACGCTTAAATTGGCTATAAGCTTGTCCAGGTTCGAGCAGTTTGATGATTCATAAGCTGGGAATTCTTCTTTCCCTTTGTCCTTGGCATGTAATTCCTGTGTTATGTGTGCTACATTTTGCAACTCTGCATTTAAGACCTTCAAATCAAGCATAGCCTTTTTCATCAAAATCTGCAGAACAGTGTCTTACAATTAAGTGACTAGTGATAATAATGGTGGGTGAGCCATGAATGAGAGTAGAGCTTGGTAGCATTTCTTAAGAAAAGACAAGTACAGAAAAGCACTCTATGGACACAGAGATAAAACTGCAAAACTAGCTTTGGATGCTTACTTTGTATAATAAAAGTAATTCACATTAGAAAAATTGGGAATGATACATGATCAATAGTATAATATTTGCACTGAGTAAGTCTAGTATGAATTTGAGATAATGTCAAGAGCATTGAATTACGCACTCGTTGTCTATTCATAACTAATGGCAACAGTGCACTCCTTTTTAAATTTAAGCTTGGCGCTAGTAGAGTAGATAATTTATAATCATTTGCTCAAATAACACATAAATTCAATTTTTTTCACAAAAACACTTGTTAATTTCTAAATTTTTGTGAATCACCAACATTAATCTATTTGAATTTGAATTTCATGGATGAAATGAAATTACTGAGAGAATACTACCTTGGTCCCAAGATATAAAATAAAATTGAAAGTGATTTGTTATTTCAAAATATAAAATAATTCAAAAAAATAAAGTTTCATTAGATATACTTTTTTTTCCCAACATTGTCCGTTACTTCTTATTACTCTCTCTCTCGTCATTTAATATTATATTAAATGAAGATATTAAAATTTTTATTTTATAAAGATGAGAGTACAAAGTGTACTCAATAAAATTTATTGGTTTACATATTTTTGTCTAAAGTTATCTTATAAATTAAACTAGATAAGCTATTTTATTTTTATATCTTGTTTAGTGTCATGGTAAAAAAAATCTCGAGCATGTATATCAAACATGAAATAAATTATTACTAGTATTATAATTAACATGAAATGAGATTTAAATTGTTAACAATAGAAATTAGTGGATTAGCTAGTGAAGGAAAACACTTAAAAAAAGGGTCCAGAACATCGCCGGGAGTGAGATGGTGAACAGTGTGTGTGTGGCAGCAGGGCTGAAGCTCGTGTGTCAGATTTCGACGGTCAATCCGCGCCATTGGCGTCACCTCCTCCTCCTCCTCCTCCACTACGCGTCAACTCGCTTCCCAACATTTTTTAAGGAAAAAAAAATCTCTTTAGAAGTTTTTGCTTTTTATTTCTACGATTAACGCCGTTATCGCATGCATGGAAGAATCTTAGTAAAGTAAGTTAATTGCACATGGCCCTCAATTTGGGGGTCAGTTTGTTTCAATTTTTTTGCTGAAAGATTTTACCTTATTAATTTAATTTTTTAAAAAATAATTAAAATATAGAAAATAAATTTTTAATTATTTTAAACAATTAGTTTGAACTGCTTTGCAATATAATCAAGTCCAAGTATAATTAACATAATCACCAATCTAAAATATGAGTGTTTTCTCTTAGTATTGATTCAAAATATAAGCAACTTAACATGGGTAAAACATTTTTTCTATTTCATCCCTTATATTTATTAATCTAGATGCTCCTATAAATATATACTCTCTTCGTTTTTATATATAAGAGGCCTTTTATAATTTTTTTTATCCTTAAATATAAGAGATTTTTAGCATATTCTTTAATGAATGGATCATGACACCTTTATTAAATTAGAAAAAGAAAATGATAAATACTCTTATAAATTTACTTCAAAAAAATAGATTCATTTTTTATTTATAACAATTATGGATGAAATTAAAATATTGCTTTACTTTTAATTAAATAATTAATTTTTATTAGTTTGCATTATTTGATTAAAAAATCTTATATACAAAAATGGAGACAGTATTTCACTCATCATAGGGTGTATGGGTAATTGGAATTATGAGTTAAAAAAATAATTTATATTTTTACAGGAATAAAAACTTTATTGAAATATGAATGTTTCTCAAAAATTGTTTAAACTGGACGGAGTAAGAGAACAATGTCAAAAATGGAAGATATTTGGGAATATCATAAAATTTCAAAATA